AGTTGTGAGCCCCTCCTGAGAATCTGTTGAGGGCTGCCGTCCCCTCCTTCCATAGCCAGTCGGAAGGCGCCGTTTCTCCAGCTGTGCAAGTCGTGTGTCTGGCCTCCGTTGCTTGGTTAAATGGCAAAGCACCTCATGCCCACTGGTGGATGGATGTCTGGAGTCCTGGCTGGCTCTCAACAGATCCATGCTGAAGTGTGGCCTGACTAGGAATTTCTACGACACCCACATGTTCTGAGCATACCTGGCTGCTGCTGTCATGTCCCCTCCTCTGCCCGGTAGCTCTGGTCTCCCCTGTTGGCCTGACACAGGCATGATAGGCCCTGCCACCCAAGGGTTACCGTGCCTCTCCTTCCTCTAGAGTGCTTGGGAACAGCCTCTTTGGTGTGGCATCAACTCCGGGCCCGGAGGTGCGCAAAAAATTTAGCTGGTTACAGTTCATACTGGGCCCGGGGGCCCTTCTGCTGCGCCACGTAAAAAAGTAAACCCAGGAACCTGCCTGACAACCAGCTTCATCGCTCCCCTTAGCACAGGTCTTGTGTGGACTCAGGCTGAGCCGAGCTGTGCGTTTGCAGTGCCTGTGCTTGGCCTCCCCTCGCCAGCCCACATCTTCCCGGGCTATAGCTGTTGCTCCCTCCCCCCGAATCCCTCCACTGGCTTCTCCTGTCACTGTGCTCCAGGGTTTAGTCCTGTGATGCTCTGCCATAGTGTCTCCCTGCCCTGTGAGCTGTGCTTTTTTCTCGGCTAGCGCCTGCCTCCCCAAACTCCTGGCCTCTTCCAGCACACCGCTAGCCCTGCAACACATCTGCTTGCTCCAAGCTCCCCTTACCCCTTAGCTACTAACCGTGTGCTCTAGGGAGTCATTAGCTATTAACCCCCAGGGCCAATGGAACATGCAGCTTAAACTACTCGACTGGCCTGGTTGTATGTTGCCTCCCTTCCCCACCTTTGTTTAACTTAGATTGTGCGCGCTGTCTTGGCTACTCCTTGTCATGCACCATGATGGCATGGATGCCCTTTGACTCGCTTGGCACTCTTGTGTGCTGCCTCTCATCTCCCCCGGGGAGGGACGTGTTGCATCCCCTTCTCCCGCCTTCGTACTGAAACCCTCTAGCTGCCTCGGAGCCAAATGCTGCCGAAATGAGCCCCCAGCCTGTAGACTGGTCTGCAGCAGGCTAGTCCGGACAGCTGGCCAGCTGTTACATGTGGGTTGCTGTGCATGCTGCTTGGAGAAGCCGCGCTGGGCACTTCTCCGTGACCCCTTTGTCCTTGCTCTTTGGCTCAGAATACCTCTGCCACGTGTTTGTGCGAAATGACCGGCTGGCAGGAGTGGTGATCGCAGACAGCGAGTACCCCCCGCGCGTGTGTTTCACCTTGCTGGAGAAGGTAAGGCCTGAGGCGCTGGTCAGGGGTCTCAGGAGACCAGCTGTGTGCTGGGACAGTGCATGGCAGGAGGGGCTTGGCTGAACTCGCTTCCCTTGTTGCTGCTTGGGCAATTGAGACTCTGCTGACACCAGTGTCCCAAGCTCACCCTGTGCTGATGGCTGTGAGTGGGGCAGGAACTGTGCAGGCCTAATGTGTCTTCATGGGCTAGGTGATGCTGTGCATCTGTGTATTCTGCCTTGGCCAGCCTGGGGTCAGGCCTGGTTGGGCCCCAAGAAAAAAGGGTCTGTTCTCACCATCTGGCCCAGGCTTGGTCAGAACTGGGGCCGAGGGGGTCACAGCTCCGTCCAGCTCGGATCACAGACTTGCTTGAGCTCTGCCTGTGCTCTTGGCCGTGGTCGTTGCTGCTGGTTGCATGCCAGGATGTCCGGAATGTCCCCGAAGCCCGGGGGTTGTTGGGAGAGGGGACGTACGGTCTCCTCGGGAGCCACGTGACATGCTGCCAGCCTGTGTTCCTTCGTGGCGTGCTGGGGTCCACCCCCTTCGCTCTGCTGGCCGAGAACAGGATGTTCAGGAATGATTCTTCCTTACCAAGTCTCGAGCTCGCTGCCTTCTCCAGACACACGTTTACTTGGGCCTAAGCTTTGTGAGCCAAGGCCCAGTCGTCAGATGCTGCTCACACCGCGGGCTTTGCCCGTGGCAGCTGATCCCCAAATAAATCTCTGCCTCTAAGGGAGCGCAGGGCTCCTGGCTGGCTTTGTGCATACGGACGGACACGGCGACCCTTGGAGACGAGCCCCCTTGTGAGTGTCTGTGCGGGGACAGGCGGTGCTCAGCTGCACGGCCGCTTTGCCTTGCAGGTGCTGGATGAATTCTCCAGGCAGGTCAGCAGCATAGACTGGCCCTCGGGGTCTCCGTCGACGATTAGCTACGCAGCCTTGGACGGCTACCTGAGTAAATACCAGGTACGACGCGCCCGGCAGCCAGCCCCGGGGGGGACAGAGAAGCAGCAGGAGAAGGGTGTCCCAGTGGGGAGTGTGGCGTCGGCGTGACCTGGAGCAGATGGCTTCGTTGGGCTTGAGTAGCCCGTCTGTAAAGCAGGGCCCTGGCTCTGCCCGGCGTCTCGGGGCGCCCAGGCGCTCAGCCACTGCAGCCCTGAATAATCTTTCCCTCACACCCGGGTGTGCACTGTCCAGACCAGCTCCGAGGGCTGGGCTGGTGCGCGAGGCCTTTGGCTGGAGCCTTCGCTCTGGCCAACGCCAGCGCCCCTCGGGCTCCCCAGAGCCCTGTCGCGGTGCAAGGGCCCTGCCCGTGTAGGCCTTGGAGCGCTTGGCGGGGGAGTCTCGCTTCCGGCTCAGCGCACCTGGGGTC